GTCAAGACTAGATTTATTGAAGCAGAGTGTTGGACTAAGTAGAACTGAGAATAAAAACTGAAATACTCATTCATTTTCAAGATATACTTGTTAATCTTGATACTATTTAATATTCTTGACTTTTATGTAGTTGGGTTTTTTTCCTTTTAAACAATGAAGGTCATCCAGTTTTGAAGACTGAAAAATAATCAAATGATTATTACCATGTGTTATTACCGGGGTCATCCTGGACTATGGCTTCTTTATGTATGTTTATATGAAATACATGCTATACAATTTTTGTTTTGATTTGTCTTAAATACAATTTTTTCCGTATTTTTAAAAATTGCAACTTAGTTCTTAATGTGTTCAAATGTATATTGATAGAAATTTTATTTGAAAGTGACTAAACATGAATAAATGTGTGGGGGTTTTTTGTTTTGTTTTTATTATGGTCATGTTCTTTAGCAAGTATATTAGTATAGTCTATTAAATAATCAACCATTATATTCCTCTGTCAAACTTAAATCAATATAGTGTACATTACACCAATGTGAAATATGTTTTATTTTATTCTTACCACTTTACCACAAATGCTTATATATTGTTGATTGATTTTTATTTTTATCATCCTTTACAGTTCAGTTTCACATTGCTCACTTATATGAAACCCAGGTAAGTGTTCTTATTTACCCTACTTAAAACAAAAATCATCAAATCGTCATTTATATCATGGTTCAAGTAAATTCAAGTTTAAACTTTTAATTTAATGAAGTTCTTATCATTGCCTTTTTGTGTTTTTTGCTTATTAAGTATGGTTGTTGTAATTGTTTTTTAATAACTTCATTTACGTTATTTTTCAAGATTGAAATACCTCTTTTACATGCATAGTGCTATATGAAAGGCATATTAGAGTCACCTTTTGATGCTGTTATCACTACTTTTCATAGCTTTCATATTTAAAACACCTGATCAGTTTAATTTTAGAACATTTTGTTTTAGTGTATGTAGATTTTGCTTGTTTATATATAAAAGGTATGACCTATAGAAATTCACTTTAGGAAGTGGTACTGGAAAATCAAGTAGACTAAACTAAAGGTAATCTTAGTTTAAGCAGAAATGAATAGTTGAAAATTAAGGATTGAATTTCATTTTAAGGCACAAAATAGATTTGATAATAACTCTTCAGTAAAAGGAGTCATGGTGGCTCAGTGGAGTAAACAGCAGGTAACTCACCAAAAGGTCTGTAGTTTGAGCTC